AGGCTATTTTTATCAAAGCTCCTCCAAAGCCACGCATTCGACAGCTGTTCTGTAACTTTTACTAACAGATCGTTTATATTTTGTGGAACAATGTTGACTGTATTTCAAGATATCTACTACTTACAGTTATTCATGGTGAGATACACACACAGAAGACCTGCAAAAAAGTGAGTTTCATGGATGATTTAATACCATTTGAAATACATTTTACATGAAGGACACTATTAGAGGAAGGCGCTACAAGAGTCCACACCGTCATGTTGATGTGAAACACTCTATGACAATAAAGAATTAGCATTGGTCTGATTTCTGCGATTAAATTTACTCCTTCAAGTGTAATGAACTACACGACAGTCAAAACCAAATCAAACCACGAGTATCTGAACCAACTGGAATTGCCGCACAACTGAAAATAAAGTGCAAAGATGCTGCAGTGTGGCATAAAGAAATTAGTGACGGGAGTTTTTGCTCATCTGCTTTTAGCTACTCTTTGAGTCTAGTTCAGGTAAGCAAATATACACGTTGGTTAAATGTGTTCATGTAAGCAGTATATTACAGTTTATACAAGTTTCCAGGAGTCTGATTCTGAAACTGGGCGAGTTATAATAATGCGAGCGACTTCTGTAAAGCAGGTTCTGAAGAGCAGGTGAAATAATTTCCCAAACGCCCGTCCTGTGAACTTAAGGAGGGGGCTAACACTCTGTATTTGTACAGTACTTAAAACTGTGTCAACGATGGAAAACAGCGGCTGAAAAGTCTAAGAGTAAGCATTTCGTGTATCAGCGATGAAAGAAAATTAAAATCGACCAAAAACATTAGTTCTGAGTTATACCGTCTTAAGTGTTTAAGTTGTCTTTTAAAATATTACATAACAGAAATAAATTAAAGACTGCTGTTATAAGGGCCAATATCCCAAATACACAGCCTTCACGTAAAGAAAGATGTAGCCTTATCCGGTGATAAAGCTCCCTCAAATGAATAGTCAGAGTAGAAAACAGCTACGTCATGTCATGTACAAAAAAAACCAAACAAAACTATAATACATGTGTAATGTAAGCCAAATCAAATATTGATTGTAAACTGCTACAGCTAAAACAAACCAAATTCACCAGCAACAACACATGCAGTCTCGTCTGTCCACGGCTGATTTGCATTTCTGTTAATCACACACCAGTATTTAGGTAGTATACAGGCTGATTGTGGGAAAGCGGTTTCCTACGTTTACTCATTCGTTATAATTCACAGCACATTCTATGTAGTGCTAAATGTTCGATATAAATGCTTTATCATTTTGGATGCTACTACTACATTTTTAGGCCACTTTCAGCGTATTTAATACAGTCTCCATTATTTAAATCATCGTTAACCAGGCCAGAGCTTCAGAAAGGTTCACTAAGCCACACAGGTTTACACTGTAGGCAATAATAAAACCATAAGGCTGATTTCTTTTAACTGTGAGATAATCGCCAACCAGAAACTGAAAGCACTGTTTTTAAAGGTGTTTCCGTTGGAGTTAAATGTTTTGAGGATGCGGCCACATGATGTGGTGTTTCACTGGCTCTGGCTCAGATGTGACGATGATGGCTGTCATATTCAAATACAATACAGCATAAATGTAAAACACCATGGATTAATATTGCAAAAAAAACAAAAACAAAATACATTTTTTCCTATGGAGGTTTACATGAGAAGGGAAAATGGATGCCATCGTTATAATTCATGATAGTGAAAATGCAGCGGGTGGACGGTTTAGGAGACCACGCAGCCCGTGTCCTTCTGGGGCTTCAAATCTGGTTCCTTCACCGGTTTCACCTCCTCGTCCTTGGGTTTGGCCTGGAGAAAAAGCAGTAATTTGAAAGAATTCAGACCTCACAAGCGTAAAAATACATTTTGCTGTGTGTTTACGCGTCATTCATTCGGCAGTACCTTATCGTTTTTGGCTCCCTTGGTCAGATCAAAGGTGGCGTAGACTTCAGCAGTGCACTGCTCGCTGAGAGACGGCAGCTCGAAGGCGATTGGCTCAGCCAGGCCGTAACTCGCCTTTAGCTCCAGCTGGGGCGCCTCAGCTGGGACCTTGTGGAAGTATCTGAGGAGGATAACATATTAGGAAACTTAAGTTGAAATGTTTCGCTTTTTTCCTCATAAAGGCTTCAGTGTTGCAGTGAAATATAATCAAGACTTTGTTTTTTTTTTCCAGGCTCAGGGCAGGCATTTGGGGAGCGATTACGCACAACTGTAAACATTATCGATTCATGTACAGTGAAGGTAATAAGTCTAAGTTACCATATGTGACAGAAATCTATGCATTTTCCTGTTTTTTTTCTGAACATTAGATAAACAAAAACAGTTTTCAATCTTCAGTAAATGAAATCGCAATTACCAAAACTGGTTAGATTGCTATTTTTATCAACAGTTATTATTATTTTTCTTTCTCTCTGGCGTCTTTTGGAGGAACCAAAAATGCCTACGTAGGAAAAGCTCATCATAAATACACAAAGGCAAATTAAAGTTTGAGCATCATAACTTGTTTTGAACATTTTGGGGCCGAATGCTGAATATTTTCATCTTTTTTTTTTTTTTTTAGGAAAGCGCTCCAAGTTAGATTCACCAAACTGATCTGCACAAAACCAAATCATCCTTAGAATCATTTCCAAATAATAGCTCCTTATATTATCACATATGGCTGCCTTTGCTGCTTTATTTCTTTCACGCATATGTTTTGCATAGTCAAAGGTGTAAGCAAAAGAAGCAAAGCTCAGCATGAGAGGCAGTCATACACGGCTACATTACATTATGTTACAGCTGTCCAAGTCGGGATTAAACGGCTTCTTTTCTCATTTTGGTATCACCAATCGCTCTGACCTCGGTCTGATCTCTGAATTGTTCGGACCTTGAATACAAACCAGGTCCAAACCTTTGAGTAACAAGTCTGAGAGCTTGTGGCTTATAGTGAGTAATGTTCTACTGTTGGTTGATGTAGAGAATGACTGTGAGGCAGATTTCTTTCTACTAAACTGTCTACAATATTGTGCTGAATTATACCAATAAAACTCCACAAACAGATCATGAAGATGCTGATATTTTGCGTTAAAATTACTTGCGTTAATTTCAGTATTATTGCTAAAAACCCATATTTATAAATATTTATCTAATTATACCTACATAAGTTGTGTTTCCCTCCTGAAAAAGGCCGACCACCTGTACTCCTACGACACATCAGGACTGTTTTTACAAACCTTTCCTTCCCTTAGGAGGTTTTTCTTTTTAACAAGTATGCACCAAAATAAAAAAGCAAGATGATTGATATTTGATATTTGTTCTGAAAATGTGTTTTTCAACTGCCCAGATACTTGTAAGTGAAACTCTGAGTTTGTTTGTTCTGTAAAGCATGATGTCTTGTGGCAGGGATTGAGGCAGTGCACAATCTGTGAGCGTCTGTTATTATTATTAAGAGGGTAACTGACATCCAGCTGTTGTTAATATGCACCGTCATCATGTGTTTATATGAGCTTGAAGAGACACACATTGTGAAAATCAGATGTTATATGAGAGTTAGCTGACATTGATCAAACAGTATTACTTACCTTCTACAATACTAAACACAAGAGTTGGATGCACATGTGTGTGTAAAACGATCAGTGCACTTGTGTTTAGTTTAAAAACATCAGCAGTTGTTGCCATAAATGAAAAAGACTGTGTGGATTTTCTTGCACAATCTAAAGTGCATCAATGTTTCCACTAAAATATGTCAGAGATATCAGTGTTTTCAACGAGACCAGCGATGTGTTCGGCCTTCGCGCCTGTTTGTGCGTCTCTGCTCTGAGTGACTCACATGAAGCCATTTTCTCTCTGGCACTTCTCCAGTGTGTTCTTAATGAGGCCGCCCAGTTTGAGGAAGAACAGCTGCTCCGATGGTTTGGCCGTGGTACCCGGGCCTTTGGTCTGACGATACTCTTTACACAGCGCCTCAGCACGAGAGTAGCCTAAACAAGAAACGTCTTTGTGTCAATACAAAAAAGAATCCACGGAGGTTAAGGAGGGGAAGCGGGCAACTAAACTTCACCCTCCCGTTTCATGATAAGATGCCTCCAAAACTACCACAGCTGCACACAGGAAGCAAACACACAGGAAACACCAGGGTCACGGTTGACGTGCCAGTGCTTCATTATGCCTCAGATACTTGGAACTGAACCGAAATGAGCAGATAACATGTTCTGTAAGTGCTGTAGTCTGGAATTGACAGATAGTGTGGAAAGTTATGCTGCCGAATGCAAGACAACCTAAACAATACATGCATTTATAATAACACAACAACAGGCTTCTGTATGTCGTGTGAACATCATCTGATTGACTTGTGCTTTCAGTGGCGAGACACTGATTGTATTAAAGTCAACACAAAGAATAAAGTACTTTTCAATAAGGTTGTCCATCAAGGTATTTTTGTAAAAGAAGTACAAACTGAGGTAAAATAATACACTAACACAGTGTGTAGTTTAAAAATAAAAACATTTTCAGCTACAACAGTGTGTCTGTGACGTAGCTGTACATACACTTTTCTGCCTCCTGGAGGGATCTTATAGCTTCGCCACACTTGTCGCTCGCCAGGAGTGTCTGTCCATGATAGCAGTACGCCTGCAAACAGAATTAATGAGTGTAATCTGGAGCTGGATTTCTCATTCGGTTCCTGTCTTTGTGTGGAGGGATAGTTGTCAGCTAAAGCAGTGCTGTAGCGTTGACTTACATAAGCCATGTAAAAGTGCTGCTTCAGCTGAAGATACTTCCTCCACTTGCTGCTGCACTCTGGCTCCAAGGTGTTCAGCGTGTGGTCTAGAGACACAGAAACATCGTTAACAGCATGTTGTAAAATGGGAATGGCTTTAGTCCTCACTAGGTATGCATTTCATACGCAAACTCGCAATAAAGTCGCTTTCTGGTGATTGATTTCACTCGTAAAATCTCATTTCTGTGTATCAGTGTTACATATTTAGAAGTTTCTTCCATGAAAATAATCCTTTCCTGCCTTAAAATGGCTGAAATGTAACTCTACACCACTGGCTGCTCTAGAACAGATCTATGAAGTCCCTGCCCATCCATTCCCAACTACAGATGGCAGCAGCTAGAGCACATCAGCTCAACTGTGACCCTGTTCAAACACTGTAAAACTACTCTGTGACATTAAAAAGCTGTTATACTAATTAAGCAAATATATATTAGAAGTGGAGACTGACTCTGAAAAGTAATGATGCAGAAAGACCTGCAAGATGACAGGATTTGTTCCTTTGGTTTGATACGTATGAAACCCTGAAAGTCTGAATCTGTGTTTTTGCTGCACTGCAGTGTTAAGGTGGAAATACTGAGTCATGACTGCTTATTTCACTCATGATATTAAAAAAAAAACACTATATGGACATGCTAACAAAGTCAATAAAATGGAATGGCTTTAGCCCTGCATTGATATGAATTTCATTCTTTACATAAATCTACATTCAAACTGTAATGTGTACTGTGATGCTTGATGAGACAAGCTAAAGCACACGTTTGGTGCTTCCTGAGTTGGGCTGAGATAAAACCACATGAGATAAAATGCCCTCAGCAACTGGGTTCCTGGTTCAACTCCAGCTGAATGCAGTTTCCCTGCCCTCTTACCCTGCATTTCCTGTCTCTGCTGCACAATCTGATAAAGGCCAAATGCAAAAAACGGCAAACAAAAAACACCACATGCTAAAATACTGACCAGCTTTCTGATAGAAGTTTGCCGTCTCAAATGCCAACGCTGCGATGAGTGTGGCGTTGTGCTTCAGTTCAATTGCTCTGGCGATTGTCACTGTCAAAGGAAAAAAAAAAAGAGGAGACGGTAAAGAACTGAACTTGGTATAAATTATTCATGATGGTGATTATGGATAACTGTCAATGTAATATTTATAATTCCCATGAGTATCTGCTGTTATTGGATCTCTCCAAATATATTTTGGTATACAAAAAAAGTGAAAGTGTTAGTTTATGCTGCACTGGTACTTCATCCAGCCATGAGCACAATGTTGTATTATTTCAATTCATGACAGAATGGATCAGATCAAGGATCATTTGTCTTGGATTTGGATCTTGTAGTAGTGAAAGACATAGAAGGCTTTACAGTTCAAAACTGCAGGATAATATTAGCAATGTAAATCATAGAGTTCTTCATATATTATCATGTCACAGTGATAACTTCAGCTTAATCACTCCTGCTCGTATATGTCAGTGAAACTGCTGCTACCTTCTTGCGCCTCTGCTTGACACTGGATGATATATGCGTCGATCACTCTGGGCTCCAGGTCTCTGCCCTTTTCGGCCGGAGTGATGAGGCGAGGGATGTGGATCTCCTGCAGGAAAGATGGCAAAACAACGAGAATAACAAGTTATTAATTGTTCCTAGCAGAATGAAAAGCACCAATCAGAATAAAGTTTGTGTTTAACTCAATAAAGATGTGTATTCTGAAGGGCTTTTCTTAAAGGAGAGTTCTGTATCCACTACAACTCAGGGTTTGGACATAAGACTGAGGGTGTAACTATAAATGTTGTTTTCTACTACTAATTTGCCTGTACATCTACGTCACCTTGAGATTTTTGAATATTCCAGCAGCAACCTTCAAGCTCCGGTGAACATCTTTCGCTTCAGCCTCTGTTATGCTATTAAACAGGAAAAAGAAAGACTGTACGCCTCAAACAGTTCAAATTAACAACACAATAAATGAACAATGATGGAACACAACGATGACTTCAATGATACGCTCAACAAAGTACTTACTTTTCCTTCCCTGCTAGTCTTGAGGCAAACTTGGTGTACCACAGGGCTACATTGAAGGCCATAGAGACCAGTTCAAAGACTGCATCCTGCTGGGCACTGGGAAGACAGCAAAGAGAAACTGTGGGTTACACACACAGATAGAAGCACACAAGTCAACATTGGTTAGATTAAAAATCAACACCTCTGAAACACTGGCTCACTATGGCTGTAGCAGCTGATTTATTTTACTGTACAAACGACTCTTGCCAAGTAATAAGTGGAAGTGTTCGACATGGTGCTCAGAGCAGAGGTCAGTCTTGCTATGAAGACTGTCTTATGCAATTATACCCAATAACATGCGAGATATCACAGCCATTAAGTGTGTATGTCACTTCTGCCACTTGAATCAAAATAATTAAAAGAAGAAACTCTGAACCCTGTGTTTTTATGTTGTTGTTTTTTTAAGTTTAAGAAGTGATCAGCTCTGCCAAGAGTTCCATATTTCAGAATTCTTCAGAATCTACCTGCACATGTTAAGGGTTATTTCCTGACTCAAAATGGGATTCTGAGGGGTGAGTATGCTAAACAATAGGAATGATTCATCAGTGCACAGCAAGGGCAATACGGCCACATTACCTTAAGAGTAAGAAATTATGCATTTGCATGTTGTTTCTGACCATGTGACACAAAATCTCTATTAAAAACCAAGCTGGTTAAAAATTGTAATTGTTATTTTTATTCTAAATTCCTATCATGCTGGTTCATGTTGGTTTCTTTGCACAAATTCACTCCTTCTACCAACTACCAGACAGGATTCTGTGGTTTTACCTTGGTGTGTTTCCTTGTAAGGTGTCAGTCCACTTAAAGTTTTGGATGAACCTCATCTTGTTCTCCTGTGTAGTTCCATCCAAGGATGCAATAAAACCTATTTTTTCATAAACCAATGTTTAAAACAAGAGAAGCAGCTGGTTAGGTGCAAAGCAAAAATCAGAAAACAAAAACAGATGCGTTGTTAGAAGGCAAACAGAAACAGAATTCACAATGAGTACAGTGTGTCACACAAAGCGCAGGTGGTTTTCTAAGAAATGTTCACAATATATGTATGTTTGCAATCACTTATTTCAATCACGGTTTTTCAACAATGACATGATTAAAAATGAATAACTGTACAAATCTGAGTGATTATTTTCATAATGAAATGGCTTTAAACCATCTAACATCAAGCTTTCCCTTTTAATTTCCCCTTAAGGTTGGACAACTGATCTTATACCACTCTGTCAGTACACTCTCTATCCACTCGTGCCAATTCTGCATTGAGGCGATGTGATATTTACACAAAGGCTGCAGCTGGAACCAGCTCGAAAATAATTGCCACCATGTCTGTGTAGCTGCAGACAGAGGGCTAGAAAGTGGAATGTAAACTTTACAAACAGCGATTTGGCTATCACAGCTCAACAACCAACATCATACATCGTCTAAAACCGTAGGCTAACTGGTCTGCATTACATTCCTCAATAGTTCTTGTGCTGGGATCACCAGTAGATAAAGTTCAGTTTTCAGAAATCCTATTAATACGAGCAGGTGTATGCCGGTCTGCTCTGCATCAGTTGTCATTTCAGTATAACATAACCAAGTTACAACAGTTTAATATACTGCAAATACTAGATAGTTAGATTTATTTCTAATTCATTAATGCTAATAAGGGTAGCGGGTAGCGTGCATTCAGTGCACTATGACCAATTTAGCTATAATGAAAAGTGTACAGATAATGTGCAGATTTGATTGGCTGAAGAGAAGGTATGATTTCAGCCGACCAAGACTTTCTTTGGTTGACTACTGGGTGAAATATTTAAACTCAAAACTCCATTTGTTTGTGACAGCGGTATTCAATGAAATTGAAATTTGCCGATGTGTACACAGCCTTATCCATCATGTAGAAAAACTTCACCAGAATTAAAATGAAGTTCTTTCTGTGTGATCAGGATGAGTTTGCACGACTAGCGTGACTAACTTGCCACTGTGCATGTTCAGAGATTACAAGCTTCACAAGACCGCAACAAAAATAGGCAAGATCATACATGTGCTAATCGTGTGTACCTTGCAGGAGGGAGAAGTAAGCATCTGTGGCATTTTTCATGATCTCTGGGTTGCAGGTGACATCGGTGAACATCTCCAGCAGTCTCGCCCTGGTTGTCCTCAGGTCACTGGATGTGAAAGGCAACAGCAGTCAACTGATGCTTTGTCATGCTTGAACTATTCAGAGTGATTACACGTCATTGCCTTTTGTCAGGAAACAAGGTGACTGTGACCAAACAACAGAAACAATAGCAGGCCATGAGTGTCACTGCATCATGATCAGAGAGAAGAGTGGAACGAATAAGCAATTAAATAATTGTGTTTGTGATCATGGCCACAGTCACAGTCCACTGCGATAACACCGCATTTAGCGCAGATAAGACATACTTGCATATCTTATTGGCAGCGGGGCTCCCTGCCACTCCATAGAAATTAAAGGACACAGGCGCTGTTGCCTTCAGCGGGTTTCTGTGAAACCAATGTGCCATCCTGTGAATGTGGACACACCTAGAGAGGCTGAAAGACAATCAGTTAAAGGATAAGTTATCTCTGTGGTACTGACGTTTCAAAAACGCTGTTAGAGAAGTGGGCGATCTCCTGAATAACTGATGACTTTTAACGGGATATCGATTAAGCAGCAGCATTAGCTAGCAAATGTGTGATCTTGGCTAACGTCATCTCTCCGAGTCGGTGGCTACAACTCGCCGCAATGTGACTCTGAAACGGCACTGAACCAAACTTATTAGCAAATAAAAACCACACAAGACCTCTAATGTTACTTTGGGCTGCTATGAAAAGTATTTCAATTAGTATTTGTCTGTTGTAGTTAAAAGTCCATTACGTAAGCTACGGAGCAACAGCTAACGGCTAACACTGGCTACATGTACTCATGTAAGCACAGTGTGTTTCGGCGGTGTGACAACTGACTTTTACACGGCTGAATATAATAATTTGAATAGTTTAAACACTGTCAAAGTGATTACCTGTCGGAGCGGTGCTTTAGATTTGAGGTTTGATAGTCCTGATGGAAAGTCTGAGACTGACAACAACTTACTTCCGGAAATAAACACGGAGTAGAAGCTGACCAATGAGAAGCCGCGGTTCGGTCACATGACGTGCGTCCGGAAAAATACCCCAGATGTCTTTTGTTCAGCAGCACAACAGGCACTGAAAGTGTAAAGATCATGATGAAACCACTGCAAAGATGTCACAGCAGCCACAGACACTGCCTGGGATGACTGATCAATGTAGTTATTTTTTTTTAATCGTTACATTCTTCAATCTCTGCATGTTCTGGCTCCATTCAACAACTTTTAACCTCTTATTCTGCACCCTGACCCCACAGCTCAGAAGCCCAGTTGCTGGTAAAACTTTGACAAAATAAAGAGGGATACTTTCACTGTTTTAGGTCCAAAACTGTGGAACAAGCTCCCCCATTCTGTCAGAACGGCTCAGTCAATGCTTCAGTTTGAAAAGCCTTTTGAAACCCATCTGTCCAGACAGGCATTTGTATATTTTATGTCTTTTCTAGTGTTTTATGGTCTTTTTTAAATGTTTTATTGTTGCTCTTCTTTTCCTAAAGCACCTTGTAACTCCAGTTTTGATAGGGGCTATAGAAATAAAGTCTATTTTTGCAGGAGTTGTGTAATTTCCCATCAATTTCTTTGGACTTTCTCCCAAAATAACTCTGCAACTGGGTACTAATTATAGGCACACCAGACACAATGAGCTCACAGTTTGCAGTGCTGTTCACTTTTAGTAGAATTATCTTGAAAGAAGTGCTAAAACAATGGATGATTCAAAATCAGAGTCAGGTCAAGCCACTGTTATTTGTAAAGCATATTTAAAACAACATGTTTTCCAAATAAGTAAAAACAAAAACCTACCCTAAAATATGATATATAATATAAATGTACCCAATTATATTAAATATTGAGACCCTACACTCACGCAAATTTATATTATACACTCTTAACACCTTACTTGACTAATTTAGAGCATAAATTAGGGTTAATGCTGTACATGGAAAACCCAATACAGATTCCCTATGAGCTGCATAACAGTGCAGAAGAACAGTTCAATAATAATAGATGATTTTAAAACAACAGTTTCATATAAAACATGAGTCAATTTTTGACTATTGTTTGAAACTTTACCCTCCATAGCTGTTGAGTTGCAATATTTCCTGTGGATAGAGTTCACTTTTTTGTATGTTTAGTTGACCTGCTACATAATGAGTACAAGATGACATTAACTGGAAGTGTGTTCACTAAATACTGGCTCCGTTACAATCAGTTATTGTTACTCAGTTATGCAAGAACATGTAATGTGTATAATTAGTCTTACAGGCTATAGTTCAATCTATAAAAAAACAATGGAAATTCAACTTCTTTTTATTTTTCCATTTGGCAAACATTAGAGTGAACGATGGACAGCCACTTCAAGTGATGATCAGAAAGAAACAAGAAAACAATCCCCCCCCCCCAAAAAAAAGACAAAAAAATGGTTGGTCTCATTGTCAATAACTAAGAAATTGCCAAACAACCCACATTCACACACACACACAAACACAAACACACCAGATAAAGTCCATATTTACAAAGTACATCTTTGTATGTCAGGTCATCTTTGCCGTGTTGTTTAAGAACTGATTGTGCTTTTCAACAAAAAAATAGAATTTACTTTATTATCACATTCATTGCATACTGTACATCGGGAATCTCCCTAAGGCACATTGAGGTGCACCAGTATCAGGTTAAACCAGATATTTGTAGGCAGACACATGTTAAGAATGCCTGTGTTGCAAAAACTTTTCATAGTAAAGATATTTTTGAAATCAAAATTGAAATTTCATTTTCCCTCAAAATCTAACAAATAAAGACACCGGCATAAAAAAATCTCACAGGACAAGTACAAGTTCCCGGCTTTGGAAAAAATATCTTAAACATACTTTGTCAATGACAATGGTATCAGTGTACCTTTGAAATGTCTTATGTTTCAACAAGAAGGCACTTTTGGTCAGATTAAAGGCACTAAAAGCATCATTATGCTTCTATTAATTGATTTTGTTTCACACTGCAACAAGGCAACTTGAACAATAAAAGGATAAAAGGAAACTTTTCTTTCCCTTTAAAAAAAAAAAAAAATCTCAGGTTCACAAGCAGGTTCATTCTGTTCTCAGATGTCACATCCCAAAGTCAGTTTTGCTCACAAAAAAAAGGTGCAGATCTAGAAAGGCAGCATCACAGATGTTTGTACAGCGGAAATCTTGGTTCCAAAAGGTCACTTTTTTGCCTATTTGAAAGCAAATATACACTCATCCCCTCTCACCTCAAAGAAAAAAATCAATTCAGCTCATGTTTTTTCACAACCAGACCGATTAAATAAGTGGTGTCTGGCCACAATTCCTCAGGAAAAAAAAAAACCCTGGTTACAAACAGACAGAAACTGAATGTTACATCAGTCCATTACAAGAAAAAAAATGTCAAAATCACTGAATTCAATGGTCAATTTGAAAAGAAAGAGCTGTTGTATAAACTACAACTTTCCCATGATATTGAAGATTGTCACACACACTTTGATTAAACATAAGAGTCTGTACAGTACATGTGCCTTTTTGTTGTCACACTTAAAAACCGTACCATAAAAAGCACACAGAGAAAACATGATGTGCATTGTTCCCAGTCACGCAAATATATTTGCACACAGAACTGCAAATCATGTGTACATGCACAGTCTTGATATGGTTAGCACATTAATCACTGTGCAATAAATCTAATCTACTGTTTTGGTTTGTAGGACACCCAGAGATACACAAAGCTGGAGGCATGAAGTTTGAACAGCATGACCGAGCTTGTACGCATTAAACACAACAGTGAAATCAAGAAAAAAGGATTTGGCACAAGTGCAGCTTTGGTGAATGAACAACAAAAGATTTGAACACAAAGTTCAATATTCTTAGATTTGATTTGATTCCATTTCTTGGAAGAGAGAAAGAAAATCAAAAAACATTACAGCCCCTGAAAAGTCCTTTAAGATGGCACATCTGCAGAATATCTTAGGCACAGTTCAAAGACGTTTGGCGTAGTTTTTGCATAGAATGTGATCTCGAATGTCTCCCCATCCTCCGTTCTTCATGTGCGCTTTGTGCTCCGCTGATTCTACACCGGTAAGGACAAGAGATGAAGGAAAGAGGCCCTCCTTGGCCGTCTGAAGGCTCTCCTCAACCTTCTGCGAGGCCCATTCTGGCCTGCAGTTCTCCTTCTGGTGAAGCCCACAGTCCCCGGTGTGGAGAACCCTGGAGCCCTGCGCTGCCAGAACCTTGAGGGGCTTCGCTATGCAGGTTCCTGAGAGGTGCTGCACAGTCCAGTCCCAGTTGTAGTCGTCGTAGGTGCAGTAGTCGTTGCTGCAGCCCATCAGCTTGTAGTAGACCTCCCTGGAGATGGCCATGCCGATGTTGTGTTTAGTGGACATCCACCCAGTGGTCAACACCTTATTGGTCAGTCTGCTAAAATCAGTCACGCCGTTGTGGTTCCCCAGAGCGAGCAGGTCGCAGTCTGAGCAGCGGCTCTTCCTGAGCTCTATCATTGATTTATAAAAATGGGAAAAGTCTGGTAAGATGTAGTTGTCCTCCTCCAGAAACACTGCAAAGCCGCTGTAGCCCTGCATGGCCTGGACTCGCTCGAACACAAAGTGCAGCTTCCACCACCAGTGGTGTTTGGTCTGAGTGATGAAGGCCTCCCTGTAGTGTCCATAGGAGTCGGGGTGTGCAGCGTTGAGGCATCCTGTTTTCAGAGCGTCGACCTTGGACATGTCTCGAGGGCAGTCTCGTGGATCCTGCCCAGGAAACTCACTGGGATACAGCTGAGTGCTGAAGGGGAAATAAATCTGCAGTACCTTGCAGAAACGTATCCCTTGCACAATTGTGTTGATTTCCTCTGAAAAGTAGTCATGGCTGAAGATGAGCAGGAAGCTGTGCACCTCTGCAGCTTTCTCCAGAGACTTGATGAGCAGTTTCAGGTACTCGGGCCTGTTGTGGACCTGCACCACCAGCACCAGCTGAGGCTCTCCTGGGAACTTGTCGGCATTGTGGACGCACTGCCTGTAATTGGCACTGTAGACGGACTGAGTGAGCTCTGACTGCGAGCCAAAGTTGAACCTCACCGGTCCGTCGGAGCGCACGGGCCGGTGCCCCCGCGGGCCCGATCCGCTCGTGTCTCCTCCACCAACCTCCTCAGAAACTATCAACACACGTGTTGAAAACAAGAGAGTCACAACCACGAAGGAAACTCCCAGCAGAGCGAGCAGATTCCGCTTGAGCAGCCGAAACCTCATTTTTTGTCAGAAGCAGACTCCGCGTTCATTCACCTTATTACGCGCGTCTTCATCGTAACCGTCCGGAGACTTTGGCTTCTTTTCGGCTTTGAACGGCTGCTTTTATTTCCCCTCGTTTCCACCAGAAATCCGTGTCATTTGGTAGAAAAGTTTTTTTTTTTTTTCTGGCACCTGTGGGAGCAACGAGTGGAACAAAGCGAGCAGAGAAAGTGAGCAGCTGATCCGACTTTTAGACGCGTTCATTCCAATTTGGAGAAACAAAAAGCAGCAAAACTAGAGCGGTTACTTACAACAAGTAGGTGCGATGTGTCAACAGGCTCCCAACCAGGAAGAGATGATCAGACTGAGATACATCTGAGCTCCGACTTATTGACTGCTGACGTGGACCATCCAGCCAACCGGAGACAGACGCAGCTGCAGCTCAGCGAATCATTGCTGCGCCGATAGTTGTGTAACATGAGAAGTTACAGTCAGCCAGTGAACAGCAGGACCAATGTGCAGCAACGCAAGAATAACTTTATTCATTATTATAATAACAATAACTTTTTTTATATATATTTGGGACTTTTTTTTTCTAGTTTTCTATTGTTTTTCCAAAGATTTGTGCTTTTATAATGTCTTGTGACAAAGCTTGTGACAAATAAATCTGGAATCTCATTACATGAGTTTACAAGCTGCTTTATAGACAATATGAAACTTCCTCAGCAGGACAATTGAGCAACAGAGGAACTTTTTTACTGTTTAAAGTTTCTATAGCTCAGGAAACAAAACTATTATTCTCATTTCTGTTTTAAATGATTGAAGAAAGTAATAAAAAAAACAAAAAAAAAGTAAATCTCTCTCTCTTTATTCTGGCGTTTGGCAAATAGAAATAATTTTGGTAATCCTAACTGACCTAAAACAGGAAAAGTTTCGTCTCATTTAATGTCAGATAGTGAGAAAAAAAAAGGTTTTATGTCTTTTTATACAGTGTATGTAACCTTTTGGTTTCAACTGGCGATGCACAATACTAGCATTTCTGGCCGATTCCGATATCCGATATTAAGATTTCTGATATCGCAGATAACCGATATTACCGATGTCGATATTCAATTTTTGTTCACACTGAAGAATGAGTGTTAGTAAGCACTGTGAGAACGTGAAAACTGTTCAAAAGAAGCCCATACCAAATTAGACCACATAGTCTTCTTGATTACATAACACAGTTAAAACATATTTTAACATATTTAACATTCAAGTTCATCTGTGAAATAGCAGCAATATCAAATGTACAGACGAAGGTGCTAATGTTAGACAATCATCGGTTTTTCACATCCGCTAAATTTGTTCTTCGGATCAATACCAATATATGGGGAAAAAAAAACATTAATATCGGCCGATACCAATGTGGTCGCTGATATATCGCTCATCCCTACTATATATATATATATATGTATATATAAGCAAGACTGAAATAACACACCCATATATATATATATACACAGTCATACACCAAAGTTTACTTACACTTGTAAAGACCATGTATATCATCATGGCAGTCTTGAGTTCCCACTGACGCCTGTAATTTTCTACAACGGAATTAGTGTAACGTAAATCATCTTTGTCACACACACACACACACAAAAAAAACAGTCATGCATTTTGGTTCTTTTACAGATTTATTATAGGTCTTCTGGAAATATGACAAATTCTGCTGGGTCATAAATATACATACAGCAATGCCAACATTTGGTTAAACATTTCTTGGACATTTTCACATCAACTGGGTGCTTTGGTAACCGCCTACGTGGTTCTTGTTGTATCTTTGACCGCTCCTCTTGACAGAATTTGTGCAGTTGAACTAAATTTGTTGACTTTCTCACACAGACTTGTTTCTTCAGTGCAGTCCACCGGTTCTTGGTGTGGTGTAAGTCAACCTTTGGAGAGACCAGTCTACAACCATATTTCTAACTAATGTTAACCATTTCTTTACCACTTTTGATGTGTGCTGGGTCATTGCATTGTTGAAACACCCAACCTTCTGGCTGATGATTTTAGATTTTCCTGAAGAATGTGGAGGTAATCCTCTTCTTCATTAGTCTGTTTATTTTGTGTGAAGCACCAGTTTCACAGGAACCGAAACAAACTCTGAGCATGATACTGCCACCACCATGCTTGATGGTAGATTGAGTGTTCTTGGGGTTAAAGGTCTCATCTTCTGTCCTCCAAATATGTTTTTGGTAATTGTGGCCAAAAGCTGAATTGTTTCTTTTCTTTCCAGAAGGCCTTTTCTTTGTCCATGTGATCAGCAGCAAAGTTCAGTTAGTTTAATGTGCTGCTTGTGGAAGAAAGGCTTCCTTCTTGCATGGCAGCCTCTCAGCTCATGGTGATGCTTCACTGACGTCAGTGTTCCAGCATCTTCTAATTCATTGCAGATCAGCTTTTTGGTGATTCTTGGTTGACTCTTGACCATCCTGAGCAAACGTCTCTCAGCAGCAGGTGATAGTTTGTGCTTTCTTCCTCATCATGACACAACTGTGAGGCAACCTAGTTATGGGGGAGGGACAAGAGAAATGGCAGGATTAAGCATCTTTATATTGTCACAGTTTTTATTTTACACCTCCAAGTTTTTAAGACATACAAAACACAATCAAAAACCAGTTCTCTGCTATATCTAAGTACTGTATCGTTACCCCAGTTACCTGCTAGTTTCTTGTCATGTTATTCAGTTTTGACCTATAGTCACAGTTATTTATATAATTTATAAGTATTTTTAAAAGTAGCCACCCTGGTCTTGATTTACTCCAACATAGATTCTTCTAAACCCCCTCACCCCTGACGCTACATGTTCAGGTTGAACTGGTTCAATACAACACAAAAGCATGTGGGATGTAATACCTGAAGCCACAAAGCTGAAAAACTTGATACCTTTGATAAGAAGTGACTTTCCAGCAGAAGATGGAACCAGAGACGCTGCAACTGGTATCGGATGCTTGAACACTATTAGGCTTAAACAGGACACTGTAGGGTCAGAGAATACCTCTATTATTTGTTATTTGTTTCTTCTGTATTTTTTCTTTATCATGTTTAGTTCCTTTCATTGTAGGTAAATAACAATAATTTCAGATGAGTAGATGCTGACATAGAGCATTTTGCCATCATAATCTCATAAAACAGCTTGTTCAGCTGAACAATATGAGTATCATTCTATTTACAGAAAAATCTGTGCAAAATAGATCAAGTCTGTGCGATTTTAGTACTGCTCTATCAGTATGTCTATGCATGAAAGATACCATGCGATACCATTGACATGTGCAATATTGTTATTTCTATTTTCAGAGGAACTTGAACAAGCTGAATCCATATGTAGGAACCAGTACTTATGTGTATTTTTCAGTTTTCTACTTGCATTTCTTAAATATCAACACCATCCCCTTTGCTGCTTATTATTTAATTTCACCTTTTTTTAATAGAGGTTATATATATTTATTTCTTTTATATTGTATATAGTTTTTTGCAAAGTTTTTATATTTTGTTTTTGCACTGAAATGCCTGCACCTTACTTTTCGTTAGTCTGGTAGATTAATCGTAACAGCTGGACTTGTTTGTGTTCCTTGAAGGCGTTTCACTTCTCATCCAAGAGGCTTCATCAGTTCTGACTGACTAGTTGGGAGTTCCACATACTTGTATCCTAAAGGAGCCATTAACACCTGAGTCATTCATGCTCTCCCTGCCACAAAGGGGTTCGTTAGGGTCTTTAGTGGCTAGGTGTGAATGTGGTTTCATCTTCCTGGGTAGAGATCTTAGGACTGAATTGTAAACAGGTGAGAGGTGATGCCTCAGACCTCCACCTCTGTTGAGGGATGGTCTTTCCGGTTTGACATAGATGGCTTCTTTCACCCCTCTCTCAAAGCATCTGTCCTCCCTGACTAAAATCTGTAAGTTGTTGTCTTTGAATGAGTGTCCTTAGTCCTTGAGATGCAGGGGGACTAAGGAGGTCCACCTGCTAAGGAGCTGGCTCTTCTGTGCTGAGCCATGCGCTTGTGGAGCCATTGTTTTGTCTCCCCAATGTACAGGTTTAGGCATTCCTCACTGCACTGAACTGCGTACACCACGTTGCTTTGTTTGTGTCTCGGTGTCTTGTCCTTCGGGTGAACCGGTTTCTGTCTCAGGGTGTTGGTGGGTTTGAAGTGTACTGGAATGTTGTGTTTGTTGAAAATCCTCCTGAGTTTTTCAGAAACTCCTACAACATAGGGGATGACTATGTTGTTTCGCTTCTTGGTCTTTTCTTCTCTGTGTCCTCTGGGTTTTGTAGAGGATTTGATGAAAGACCAGTTTGGGTAGCCACAGGTTTTGAGTGCTGTCTTGATGTGCTTTTGTTCCTCCTCCTTTCCTGCTGTCCTGGTAGGCGCATTCAGAGCCCGGTGTTGTAAGGTTCTTATTACTCCCAGCTTGTGTTCCAGTGGGTGGTGGGAGTCAAACAGCAAATACTGGTCTGTGTGAGTGGGTTTTCTGTAGATTTTTATGTCCAGGCTCCTGTCTTCTTCTGTGTGCACAGCACAGTCCAAGAAGGCCAGACTTCCTCCTCCTCTTATTTTTCGTTGTACTTGTTGCAATGACAATAAAATGAATCTGAATCTGATCTTTAACAATGCAAAGTCCCCCACTGTGGAATTAAGAAAGGCTTGTTTTATCATATCATATTGTATACTGCACTTCCACTGTCATAAAATCAGAGGTCCCGTCTGTCACTCTCAAAGAGGGTCTAATCATTGGCACATAATCTGGATCTCCTGATTTTGATTTTAATGATTGGACATCTACGGTCTGCTGTCCTCGCTGCCACTGAAGTACATGCTGTCATCATCGCACGATCCGAAAAGCTCCCTAAGGTCTTCAGGAAAAAGGTTGTGGACGCCTCTGAGTCTGAACAAAGTTTGGAAAGATCCCCACATTCATTCAAACAAATCATTCCACTGTAAGAAACTTCATCCACAAGTGACATAGATTTTGCCCAAGAGCAGATTGTTTGATGTAAAAAGAACCTTCAAGAACCTGTTCAGGTAACTCTGTAACTGCTGGTCATACAGAACATGTGTCTACAATCACAAGGAGGTTGCACAAATTGGAGCTACATGGCTGACATGCCAGGAAAAAGCCTTTTCTATCCAAAAACACATTAGAGTCAAACTAGTGTTCCAATGAACACATGAGGAGGCCTTTTGGAATAATGTGTTCTGGACGGACAAATCAAAGACTGAGTTATTTGGCCACATAAAATGTAGACGTGTTTGGTGCAGACCAAAGACAGCAGCTTTTCCAGGACCGACTGAGGTGAGCAGCTTGCAATCATTGACTTAATGAATTCGGCATCATATCTAAATATTTGAAATCAGTATGTCCAAAAGCTGAATTT